GGGTTATAAGTAATTATAAGTCTAGTTACCTTATTTATAACCCTAGTTACTAAGTCCCATGAACCTCTAAGTAGGGTTCAGGGTTTCAGGATCTAGATTTTAGGGCTTATGGTTCTGCGGTTCAGAGGTTTAGGGTCTAGATTCTAGGGCTTATGGTTCTGGGGTTTCGGGATTTCGGGTCGAGATTTTAGGGCTTATGGTTCTGGGGTTCAGGGATTTAGGGTCTAGATTGTAGGCTTTATGGTTCTGGGGTTTTGGGATTTGATGCTATTAGGGCTTCCAGGGTTTGGGGTGTAAGGTTTACAAGCCCCCGAAATGCTACAGGAGGCCTCAATACTATGGAATAGGGCTCTTTAGAGGTATAATTACACTACGGCTGATGATACAAATCCCATTGCCCTTAAGAAGGAAGATGCCATACTTCCCATAGTTTAGGCTCCTTCAGGTAATACAGAATTGATATCATCAACAATATGACAGAAGAATACTGCTGATTCCTCAGACTCCTCTTGTAGAGCACCATGCAGCTTTGCAGGTTTTGTGGTTTTTGAACAAATGGGTCGGATTGACGGTTTAGGGTTCAGGGTTTAGGGTTTAGGCTTTGGGGTTTAGGGCTCCAAGTTTCAGCTGTTAGGACGTAAGATTTTGGACTTGCGAAAGGAAGTCAGGGTTCAGCGCTTCATCGAGGGGCCTTGGGAGGATCTCAGCGTGCGAGACTCGGAATCATGAGGGTAGTTCTCTAAATTAGGGTCCCTTTTTAGGTCCCCAATATAGTACGGCACCCTTATAAAAAGGACCCCAAAAGGGACCCTAATTTAGAAAACTACCCATGTACAGGGTTTAGGGTGTAGGGTTTAGGGTTTAGGGTTTAGGGTTTAGGGTTTAGGGTTTAGGGTTTAGGGTTTAGGGGTTTGGGGGTTTAGGGGTTTAGGGTTTAGGATTGCAGGCTCTCCTTTTTCGCAGCACTTCGGGATGTTCCTGCGGGGTGCCTTCTGTGACAGACTGGTCCATCTCGATATAGATCGGATAGGGGCTGTCCGCAATCTTCGGATACCATGGGTGGTCGTCAAAATTAGGGTCCCTTTTTGGGGTACCCTAAATAATAGGTGCCGTATTATAATAAGGACCCAAAAAGGGACCATAATTTTGACAACCACCCACATGGGTGCTCTTTGCCTCGACATGAGTTACTTGGGAAAGGGTCGTTTGCAGACATGCCCCTCTAAGGTAAAATCTTTTCCGAGACGGCAGGGGGATCTGCAACCGCCACCATGGTGAGACAGTTGCAGACTCTGCGATCTCCATTCGAAAGGGCGGACAAAAGTCAGCAGTGGAGTCCAGAAAAGTCGGAGACCCCTACAGAAGAAAGAGCGGGGAGCTACAAACCCTAAAGATCCTACAGACTTCAAGGCATCTGGCTGCGTTTCCTCTCTTCTCTCTTTCCCTTCTAAGCACAGGGAGGGAGGCAAAAGTGAGCACCTCTGCCCTTCCATGCCTCCGAGCTATCCGGCCGCCAAGCCCTGGCAAGGGCCATGTGCACTCAGAGCAGTTCAAAGGCCCCCTGAGGCACCTAGGCATGCAGGATGCGAAGGTTTTGGGTTTGGGGTTTAGGAATT